GCTCTCTCCATCAGGCACTGGTTCCTGGAGTCATCCATCACCTTCTCTTTTGAGCCCATTAATTCCGGGAATTTTTCTCCCCTGTGCCCCTCCTCATTGCCTCTTTCTCTCTCGCGCTCTCCCCTGTGACCTTCCGCCAGGCTCCATCGATCGCATCCATCGGGTGGCGCCAAATCCTCCCTCCCCTCCTCTCCATCTTTCGGGCTTGCTTGGTGCTTTACCTGTTCCGTTCCGTTCCTTCAGTTCATCTGCCTGGCCAGTAAGCGGTTCATCAAAATCCCCAAACCACAGCAAAAAGCAAAAGATCCGTCACCACACGGCCTCCTTCTCCATATTATCATACTTGACCCTTGGTCCTCCTTCTATTTCATTTTCCCCCTTTCTCTTTTTTCCTTCCTTTCCTTGTGACGTATTGTTCCGCTTTTTTCTTTATTCTTTGTCTTTTCACTCTTTTTCGAGTCTCGACCACACAAAACCTAATTCCCCCAACCCTCGAGTCGTTTCCGCCCCCTGGCCCTCGTCGCTCCAGACCATTTCTTTGTCGCAAAGTCTCTGGATGGATACCTGGTGGCCATGAGCACGACCGAAAACCACTCAGATCCAACAGCTTCCAAAACCAGCCCAGCCCCAAGTACAGCGGGCTCAACGGGCACTTCAGGTATTACTGTGCGCACGGGACCAAACGGACATATGAGTTTCAGAAGGTGAGTGTTGACCGTTATGGTGCTTGCTTTTTTGCCCGTTTGCGCTCGCGGGGCTGTGAGAGACGAAGCCAGAAAGCCTGGCGCAGAACTCCCAGAACCCGAGCGGGGAGACTACAGGACGAGAAATATAGATTCAAATTTGGTCGAGATCTTATAGAAGCTAATCTTCTTTATCTAATCGCTTTTTTTTTCCCAATAGACAACGTGCGTCGCGTGCTTGTGAGGTACGTCTTGCTTCCTGCGAGGTCGCGTTTGTGCTGTTGAGCCTCGGCACCTCGGCTCAATCCCAGCTTGCTTTTGCTCCTTACTCGCCGGTCGCAGGTAATGCGCCGCGCGCAAGGAATATGACAATGCAACCACATCTCGATCTATAGGACTTTTGTTTGGCTAACATGATATTTTCTTGCACTTGTGAAGACATGCCATGCTCGAAAAGTGAGTCTATACCCCTTTTTCTCCGTGTAACCACCTGTCCCCACTAGAATGGACGGCCCCAGTCCTGCCCGTGCCTTGCCTGCGCCTGTGATTCTGGACGGCCGAACGAGCTCGCTAATCACGCCACTTCCATGGGTAGGTTCGCTGCGATGCCGCCAGTCTAGGGGTGCCATGCACCAACTGCGTGGCCTTTTCGATCGAGTGCAAGATCCCTACACCGAAACGCAAGAAGAACCAAACCAAGTCGAAGGAAACAAGCGGGTATGTCTCGGTCTTTCGTCCCATCATTGGTGTTGATCTCTATTGACCATGATGCTTCGTTTCTTGTTTACTAGAGGTGAGGAAGCCGAATCGAAATCGCCGCAGAGCAAACCCGAGCCACTACCAGTCGAAAGCGGGAAGGATGCCTTTGGCTATCAGAGGAATCGGATGGCTGTCGACGGTATGCCGGTCACTAGCCTCACCGAATCGCAGGCCGCTCAGCAGGCTTCCCAAAACTCCATGTATGCCCAGTTCATGAAGCCTAAGTTTGCGCGCGCCCCGATAAAGGAAGCGGGGAGGGTTGCATATCTTGGAGAGTCGTCAAACCTTTCGCTCCTCGTCCAGGATCGCCATGGGACCACCGATGTCGTGCACTACCCTCTGCCCCCGAACATGGGCGGCACGCCTGCTCGGTTGACGGATCTGGATAGCTTGGAGTTGGATATCCTGCATCAACGTGGCGCTTTCCTGCTGCCTCCAAAGCCCCTGTGTGATGAGCTGGTTGAAGCCTACTTCAAATGGGTGGCTCCTGTAGTGCCCATCGTCAATCGCAGCCGCTTCATGCGGCAGTATCGTGATCCAAAGAACCCGCCATCTTTACTTCTTCTCCAAGCCATACTCCTGGCTGGTTCGAGGGTCTGCACCAACCCGCAATTGATGGACGCCAACGGCTCAACCACGCCCGCTGCCATGACGTTCTATAAGAGGGCAAAGGCACTATACGATGCCAATTATGAGGATGACCGCGTCACTATTGTCCAAGCGCTGGTTCTTCTAGGCTGGTACTGGGAGGGACCGGAAGGTACGGATAGTGGCTTATGCCTATCGTGTCCTTCGGCTTCAAAGTTATATGTGCTAACCTGCCTTAGATGTTACGAAAAATGTCTTTTACTGGACCAGGGTGGCCATGGTCGTGGCTCAGGGTTCGGGTATGCATCGAAGGTAAGCACAACCCTAATTGATTTTTATGTATCTTAAGGCAAGTATATTGATGATACTACAGCGTGGAATCGTCTCAACTTACCAAGCCGGATAAAAGACTGTGGAAGCGGATCTGGTGGACCCTGTTCACACGAGACCGATCGGTGGCTGTCGCGCTCGGCCGGCCCATCGGTATCAATACCGACGATTCGGACGTTGGGATGTTGACGGAAGACGACTTCATTGAAGATGAGATCGACATTGCGGCGGAGTATCCGCCAGACCCGGTACACGTACAATTCTTCCTTCAATATGTCAAACTCTGCGAAATCATGGGTTTGGTTCTCTCCCAGCAGTACTCCGTGGCCTCGAAATCAAGGCGGATGAATGCTATGGATCTCACACATTCCGACATGGCATTGGCGGATTGGCTTCAAAACTGTCCAAAGGAGGTGTGTTGGCAACGGCAACGGCATCACTTCTGGGCTGCACTCCTTCATGCCAACTACTAGTGAGTCATGCTATAAGGGAATTTGTTTTCGTTTCGAAACTAACTAGATTCAAGCACAACACTCTGTCTCCTGCATCGAGCCCATATGCCACCTGCGTCTTCCGTTTCGAGCAATTACCGCGTAGAGGAGATGGCCTACCCTTCGCGAACCATTGCGTTCCAGGCTGCCGGAATGATCACTTCAATTGTCGAGAACCTCCAGAATCATACCGAGATCAGATATGCGCCGGCCTTTATGTAAGTTCTTGCGTCTACCATATGGTGACGTCTACTAACTCCCGCAAAGTGTCTACAGCTTGTTCTCGGCCTTAATTATGCATGTTTATCAAATGCGATCTTCTGTTCCCTCAATTGTGGCCACCTGCCAGGAACGGATCAACATATGCATGCAAGCCCTCAAGGATGTGTCGAAGGTCTGGCTCGTGGCCAAAATGGTGCACACGCTATTTGAATCCATTCTCGGGAACAAGGTCTTAGAAGAACGCCTTCAGAAGGCCGCAGGCAAGAGGCATCAGCGGGTACGGCCCGAGACAGCCCAGCAGCCGCCTGCGAAGAAGCCGGAACCCCCCAAGCGCAAGTTTGATGAGATGGAGTTTGGCCTACCGAATGGAGGAGGCCCCACGCCACCGGTATCTTACGAGCGATCTCGTCCCCAAACGCCTGCAGTCACGCCCTCGAGAGAGATGCAGCCTCCGGGTCTGAACCTGCCACAAGGTTCCCCTCCAGCTCCCGGACAGCCAGGTGCCTCTCGCGGGAATACGCGGCCGACGACTCCTTTCAATCAATATTCCTTGCCTGCCACGCCCCCGGACCTATTCCTTGTTACGCGTACCTCGCCCAACCTGTCCCCATCACTGTGGGAAAACTTCCAACCGGATCAGTTGTTCCCTGACGGCACTACGTTCTTCCCAGAATTGACGTCTCCCCAACCGAACACGGTCGACCCGCAACTGCAGATGCAGTCTCAGCTACAAGCACAAGGCATGGATCAACGGGCGATGATGCCGCAACAAGTACCAGGACGTGGTAGTATATCCGCCGCTCAGGGCAGTCCAGAAGTCATGTCGACTCTAACACCTGCAATTGGCCTGCCCGGCCAGCACTCACAGCAGGTGTTTGGTATCGAAAGTCAGCAGGGTTGGCCAATGCAGAATATGGACGCGACGCTGGGCGGAGCGCCTATGGACGCTGCGAGCCAGGATGACAATTGGAGCAGTAGTTCAAGGAGCGGTCCGACAGCTCCCACCACACTTAATGTGGAGGACTGGTAAGTTGATTCCGGCGGCTCCAAACAGGGCTGCAGCAAGGATGTCGCTGTATAAATATACTAACTCACAGCTCTCAGGTTCCAATTCTTCGGCATTAACGGTAGTTTCGGCGATTTGGCGACCTAAGCGGCGTTATGTCCATAGCATTTTCTAATATTTGACATGGCATGGGTGGTTGTTTGATGGATTCATGGTCATACTGGTCTTACCCGTCAATATTTCTGTCCGGCTAATTCCCCGAAGGGTGGGTATATTGTGTTTTATATTCGAGTACAGCGAGTCTTATATCCAGGTCTCCCCGGTTGTTGGAGATGTGGATGAGGGTCATTCTTGACGGTGGGAACAGGCGCAACTGGAGGATGTGCCTTACATTCATGTGTATAATGATCTTTAGTGGTAGAGTCGAAATGACGCAATGAAAATTGCAAGTAAACTTTACATGGAATGATTCAGGTGGAATGTAAACTCCTCTGTACATAAGCAACTATGCGAATCTCATACAGGTGAATAGTTTAGTTGGCTCAGTGTCTGCCTCAGGCGCTGAATGAGTCAGCAACGTGACTGTTCCCGACTGGGCCTAGCGGATGACGACATCGCAGGGCGGGCGGTTCAGCCAATGACAAGACGTGGGATCTGGGGCCGGCTTTACCGACTCGGGCAACTGTCGATGCTGACTACTCCTGGGGGATGACTCTTCTGGGGAAGATAATAATTTCGCCTTTTCCATACCAGAATCTCCTGTTATCCCAACTTTCTTTGGCAATTCCATTCTTCTTTTTGCCATTGTCATCTCTCTTTTGTCCAATCCCACCTGTTCTCATATCCGGTGGTGACTCTCCCTTCTTCCCGACCACTTTCTCTCGCCCTTGACCATCTCCCCGCTGTTCCGTCCCCGCAGCGATGTCGGCCGCAGGATCAAGTAGTGATGCCGCGGTGAAGAAGGCTTTCCCTCGGGTTGACCTCGAGGGTCACGACCTTCCTCCCTCCCCCGCTCCTTCGAGCCCCCACGGTGGCCGTCGCTATAACATTGCTACGGAGCTTGTATATACGGAGGGAAATGATCAGTACAATGCTAGCAGCGTTCCGATCTACCAGGTACCGATTAATCCCCCGATGATGCCTCAATGTCTCTGTTTCAGCCATGCAGAGGCACGACGCAAACAGGAAGTTAGGGCTAACTGATGCTTTTGTAGAGCGCTACATTCAAACAGACCTCCGGTGGTGGAGGCGGCGAATATGACTACACTCGCTCCGGAAACCCGACCCGGACACACTTGGAGCGACACCTCGCCAAGATCATGTCCGCCCAGCGGGCTCTCGTCGTGTCCTCTGGTATGGCTGCGTTGGATGTGATTTCTCGCCTGCTTCGTCCTGGTGACGAGGTGGTGACTGGTGATGACCTCTACGGTGGCACCAACCGCCTTCTGAAGTACCTGTCCACGAACGGCGGCATCATCGTCCACCATGTTGATACTACGGTGCCGGAGAAAGTGCGCGAGGTTCTGACCTCGAAGACAGCGATGGTCCTGCTGGAGACGCCGACCAACCCGCTCATCAAGGTCGTGGATATTCCTCAGATTGCTGCCGCCGCCCACGAAGCGAACCCTAACTGCGTTGTCTCGGTCGACAACACCATGATGTCGCCTCTTTTGCTGAACCCTCTCGAACTTGGTGCTGATATTGTGTACGAGAGCGGTACCAAGTACCTTTCCGGTCACCACGACCTTATGGCGGGTGTGCTCGCGGTCAACGACCTATCTCTCGGCGAACGCCTCTACTTCACAATCAACGCTTCCGGCTGCGGTCTGTCACCCTTCGACTCGTGGCTGTTGCTGCGTGGAGTGAAGACGCTCAAGGTCCGGATGGATCAGCAGCAGAGCAACGCCCAGCGCATTGCCGAGTTCCTCGAAACCCATGGCTTCAAGGTGCGGTACCCTGGTCTGCGGTCGCACCCGCAGTATGAGCTGCACCACTCGATGGCCCGGGGATCGGGAGCCGTGCTCTCGTTCGAGACGGGTGATGTGGGTGTCAGTGAGCGGATTGTTGAGAGCGCCAAGCTGTGGGCCATCAGTGTCAGCTTTGGCTGTGTCAACAGTTTGATCAGTATGCCGTGCCGCATGAGCCACGCCAGTATCGACGAGAAGACGCGACGGGAGCGCGCCATGCCCGAGGATCTGATCCGACTGTGTGTGGGTATTGAAGATGCAGATGATCTCATTGATGACTTGCGACGGGCGGTAAGTTTTGCCATTTAAAAATCCCCATTCTGGGTGTGATTGATCAGTTTGAGCTAATATTGGATGTAGCTGGTGCAAGCTGGCGCTGTCAATGTCACGCTGGACGACTTCCAGGCGAACTCATCCAACTAAGCTACGTATGCATAACACGCGCGCGACTGATGGATTGTGCGAGTTCTTTCTGTAATTGAGGCATTGATTGAGTGCTACGGTCACGATTTTTTTTTAAGAGACGATCATTTGGGCGTTCAGGAGCATTAATTAATGAGTGTAGTAAAATATTTTTGGAATGAAACAACCATATTATCTGAACATCTATAATGTGTCGGTGGATTGTTTATCCCGGGGATGGCTGAGAACCGTTTATCCGGGGGGTTCGCGATGGCCTCAAAAACCAGGGATCCGTCGGCAGTTTGGCGGAAAGATCGGCCGGCATCGGAGGCAAACCCGAGGACGTTGCAAAAGCTGGTCCAATCATTGGCCGGCCTCTTCTCGTCCGCCTGCAAGTCCGATTAAATAATGAGTCGCTGTCGCGATGGATCTGATTTCTCGCTCGCTCTTAGTACTTATGTATGTCGGGCGCGAGGCTAACAAACTCCGAACCCTTTTCTTCTTTGCAATGGACCTGTAATCCCGTCGGGCTCCCGTGCCTTAATCCCTCGTTTTGGACTGCGAACCTGTTCGCCATCCCCCAAACCCCCGAACATCTGTCTCACTCATCCGTCCTCCCCGGCAATTGTCTTCTCCTGCGCTGGTCTGGATGACGTTGTTCGAGCAGTCGCTGTAACCTCCTTCTCTTCACCTCGGGCGATCCTATCTCAGCCCTAGACTTGCTCATTCTTTTTGTCTCTTCTTTTTCCCTCTCTCTCTTTTTCACTTCTCGCCTGATCGCAATCCCGACCGGTGAAACAATACCATGCCTCGGAACGCGCTCTCCTCCGAAGCGCCTCTCCCCATGTCCGCCATCACAGAGCAGTCCATATCGTCAGATTGGAATACCAACCGTTTAGGTGCGCGACTGGGAGTCGATATCGCCAGCGCCGCAACTGCGGGTGCCTTGACATGTCCTGTCATCACCGTTATTGATCGGTATGCTAGTTACAACCTACCCCGATACATCATCCTCCTATCGTCGAGAGAGATAGCGAGAGAAAGAGCTATAAGCTAATGAAATCAATTCCTTGAACCAGCGCGATCATCGAAAAAGCAGCCAAGGGTGTCCCCATCCGCCAGACCATCACATCCTGCTTCCGATCCATGTTCACAAAACCGGGGAGCTTCTTCCTCAGCACCCCATTCCTCCTTATCTACACCCTGTACACGTCCACCTACCTCACTGCGAACACCATTGACACCTTCACCTCCACCGTGCGCGACAAGCCCTTCTCAACTGTCTTCCCCGGTACTGCCAAATTCCTCACCACCACCGCAGTGAACATGGGTATTTGCGTATACAAGGACGCCAGGTTTGCGCGCATCTTCGGTGCAAAACCTTCTCCTGCTGCTACACCTGGATCTACATCTACGCCCCAGCCCGCTTCCAGATCTACATCCGCATCCACCCCAGCCTCCTGCCACCCTTCCGGCGCCGCCAAAGTCCCCAAGATCTCCTACGGCCTCTTCTGTCTCCGCGACAGCATCACCATCTTCGCCTCCTTCAACATCCCCGCCCTCGTCGCCCCCTCCATCCCAGATTCTATCGCCTCCACGCCCGGAATGAAGGCTGCGCTCGCGCAATTCTCCTGTCCGGCTCTGATGCAGTTCGCTAGCACGCCTATGCACCTGCTCGGATTGGATCTGTATAACCGGCAACCGCCAGGCGGATTGGGATGGCGTGAGCGCGCTTCGCGCATCAGACGCGACTACATCCCCAGTTGCTTCGCGCGCATGGGCAAGATCGTTCCGGCGTATGGTGTGGGTGGTGTGGTGAATGTGCGGATGAGAGCTTCGCTGATGGAGTATCTGGAGGGTGGGAAGTAACCGTTTCCCACAACTGCTTACTTTCTTATTTTTGTTTGTGACGACGATGACGACGATGATACTCCCCCTTTAGGCAAGATCTAGTTTATGATCCTTAGATCTTTCCGTTGGGGGAGTGGCTATTTACAGTGCATATATGCAACACATGACATATAGTTTATAGACAGAGGCGAGGTGTTTTCTCTGCCCTGCCCTGCCCTGCTCTGCTCTGTTCTGTTCTTGTTCAGACTTGCGTTTGCTTCTTTTCTATACTACACTCTACTCTCCACTCATAGAGTCACGGGTCCGGCGTCCTAATTTTTTATTATTTTTCTTTCGGATCGGTGTTCTATGTGTGTTCTGTTCGGGTTATAGATTTAGAGAATCTGACTTACTAGCTAATGTCTGGTTTTGGATGATTACGAGATGAGATGCACTTGTTCTGTCTGTGTTAATCTATCTTATCTCAGCTTGTTGGGACTGTGTTGTGTGATGGCTTGATTATCTAGATTATTTATGCTCAGTGCATTCAGTTCCGTGGAACTGATCATGTCCGTCTGGTGCTGGTTTCTTGTATTTCTTGAGATGGTTTGGATGAGTTAGTGTTCTATCGATCAGATCGAAGAAGAGCCGTTGAAGAAGTGGTCTAGATGTATTGAATGAATCGAAACTCATACGATGTTATTATCACCTTGGTGTAGTTTAGAGTCAATTCTTGGTTACTTTGGTGTTATAGTAAGTACTAGTACGGTCTTTAGAGGGCGGACGTAGCTAGTAGGTATCTATCTACAAGTATCCTCTAGCTGCATTTCAGCAGGAAATAAAGAAATGAAGCGTAAGTAGGTCTCTTTCATTTAATGATAGATTGACTCTTCCAGTGGGTTAATCGAAGGGGTATTAAGGAACTGTATATAAGTATATGCTGGAAAAACTAACAAAAAAGGGGGAAATAAATGTCGCGAATGTTGTCCAGATCCAGTGTGCTATTGTTGCACACAATCACAAGAAAGTAAAAGAAGCCAAAAAGAGGCGGGTGGGAAAGAGAGAGAGAGAGTATCACACAAGAAGCAAAGATGAAAATCCAAAACTAGGTACATGCAAATTTAGAAGAGAGCAAGCAAGTGAGTTATATTTACCACCTATCGAACACACGTTAGTCCATATAATCACTGCTGTAGGAAGGGGAAAACTCACGAAAATGGTTCTGTATGCAAATAGACTTCCTCCACAGTGCTTCCCTTCTTCAGAACTTGGCCCTGTGCATGCGCAGCTGCGTTCCTCACGTCGCGGATCATTGACCCCGGGCCACAGGTAAAGATCGCGATACGCCTCGACGTGTGTGATACAGTGCTAGCTGCGATGATCCCGGATATGTCCGGTCGATTCCCCAGTTGGACAACCGTATCCGCAATGTCGATTTGCGATGAAACGGAGTCGGAGGAACCCCCGGGTCCTCTCTTCTCCACTGAGTCTGGGATCAGGGGTGACCCCGAAGCTGGAGTGGACAATAGTGAGTCCTTCGAGGTGACGTGGATGGAGAGGGAGATTTTGTCGCTTTGAACGTTGTAGGCTGCAAGCTTGGCTTTGATTTCCTCCCGGTACCAATCTGCGAGGGCGGCGGTGCGAGTCGCAAAGTGTACTTGGATTGTTGCGGTTGACTGTTGCTGTCGGTGAGTCCGCAGTGCTTCCTCGAGAATGGCCAGGGAAAAGCCACCGCCGGTGCCGCCAGTGATGAGGACATATGTGTCAAACTGGGCGAAATCGACGGACTCAGAAATCCTGCCATATGGGCCTTCGAGGAGTACTGTCTCAGATGAGTTCGGTTGTTCGAGAGCCGTGTTGCCCAGGCTGGCTGTTAGTCCGCGGCGCGGCTTGACGTAGAAGATGATTTCAGGTGCTTTGCCGGTTCGCTCCATGTCCTGGTAGAGGGAGCAGATCGTGAATGGGTGAGCGCTGAGACAGTGGATGCCTTGCTGAATGCTGAGGAATCGGACGAAAACGTGTTGGCCTGGGCGCCAGGTCATAATTGTTGGAATCCGGATTCGGACGAGGCCGCAGGGGAGGTGTTCGATTGTGGCTGTGTGGCGGCCATGCATGAAGTAGGTGCGAATGTTGGATATCCATAGACTTAGGATGTAGATTGCTCCTGCAGATATGAAGTAATCCCTGGTATGGTGAGCTGGATCCATGACATGGTATGTTAGGGGAGCCTACCATGAAGACAAGCGGAAGTCACAGTGCAAGAAGAAAAATACGACGAATACCAGGGCGGCAAGAAAGTGAGTGGCTTTGAAGAATTCGTAGAATCGGTTCCTGTAAGTGTCAGTTTTGAGTTGGTAGTTGAGTGATGGTTAGGCTGACCTGATGGCTGGGAATGACATGAATGTCAGATATGCCTGCGGAATTATAGCAGCAACCCCAGTCCAGTATGTAACCTCCGTCTTCCACTGGTCGACCATATCGCCTTGATCGATGTGGTAAACAATGAAAGGAAAGGTATGAACGAGCGCCAGGACAAACATAGCATAACTTGTCCAGTGATGAAACACCTGCGCAAGATTAGCTTTTATCCTGACACATAAATGTCAGACATACTTGAAGCTTTTCATGAGGCACGCCGGTCAAAGTCGAGATAAGATTAGCTTTTGCGCTCAGTGCTCTATTTGGGGTCAGTCATTGGTTATAGTGCCGTTGATTGGGGAGTGTCCTACAAGACAAACGGTAGCAGAGCCAGGGCCATCCATCCACTTCTCGTCGCAATCGGCGGGCTACCTCCATAGGAGACCGTTTCTGTGTTGGGCCAGTAGTAAGGCCGCGGTCCCAGTGTCATGGCTTTGATAATAGTTAGTCAAGGGCTCCAGTGATCGAGGTTGCGAAAAACCAACCCAAGAAGAATACCACTCCTGTCGACACCAGGAGAATGACCCCAAGCGAAGAGGTGCTAGAGCGCAGCACGGGTAGTTGGAAGCATCGGTAGGCAAGATATCTTCCCACTGTTGTTGATCGTCGCCATATCGTAGACCTCTTGATAGAGTGTGGACCATACTTGGAGATCAGATGCAGGATGGAGAAAACACCGACAGTCGCACATAGAAAGTATATGGTATTCAAGGCATAGACGTGATCCGATTGATACCTATTGACGAAGACACAATTAACATAGAGTCGATTATATGGGAGAATTGGAAGATCTACCAGTATCTCCAATGTGCGTTACGATAGGCACACTGTTCTGGGGTCAAGGTGCAGTGATCAGCCCGGGAAGAATGTAGCATGACCGGCTGGTCCAGCCATGGCAGCCCCATGTTGAGGAAGGGTTAGTGTGCTCAGAGACACCAGTCTGCAGAATTGATGACGCTTTCTGTATGCACTTCCTACATCCACAACGTGGTTCAGGAACAAGGTCAATGAAATGATCCATGTAAGGGCCATGTGTCTTAGGCGTTGAGTTTTGAATGATCCAGCAGGGGACCCTAGATAGAGGGCGATGCAACAGCATGATTCAGCTGCTTCGTGTGCCTTGACAACCATCGTCCATGGTACGGAACTCCAGACCCTTTTCCGCTGTCGTAGCAGCAGCTTCACCTGGCAACATGATGTTGTCCTGTAACAGCGGAGTGCTCATTGGCTGAGGGTTGCTCACAATTGAGCACATTTCTCCGGTTAGCGTGGAATGCATACGCATGCGGGCCGTGTTTGGGGGACAATCTGCTCTGTGCGCTTAGCATGCATGACCATCCAGTATGGCTAGCGGAATGACTGGGAAATTACGATGTTCTTTCTTGCTGATTCCATCTCTCATAACCCATCTATGTATAGGCTGGTGAGCAGTTTTGCGCAGGATACGAAGGAGCCCGCGAGTAAATGGATGCTTGACGCATCTGGATCGTTTCTAACCAATTGCGGAAGGAACATGGCGTAACAGTGGAGAAGCAGAAGCAAGATTAATGAATTAACTTTGGGATAACCATAGACTGAACAGCTGAGATATCATCATCGAGTAGATACATTAAGAGAAAGATTGAAACGACGAGATGCAACCTTATCGTTTGCGTCCCCCATCCGGTCTAGCGTGGGTCCGTGACCACCACCGCGGTTTCTACTGCAGCAACAACAGCATCTTCTGCTGCTGCATCCACGGCTTCGACTGTTGCGCTGGCTGCTTTGCCCATCTTGTTCGACTCCACCCCATTACTTCCCCACAGCAGATGATCCTTGAGCGCTTGATATCCTCCGCGGAGACTGTCCGCTGCTATCCCCTTGGCCCGCAACACACTGCTGGCTACCCGCGCGGTGTCCCCATGGTAGCAGAGCATTAGCACATTATGGCCACTCAATTTGCCAAGCACATCTGCATTGCTGAATAACGCTTCCAACTCCAGCCACTGTGCCTCTAGTACGTCTGCGTCGCTGAATGGCTTGGCTGTATGAGAGTCGAGACTATGCAGGGGAATGTTTACCGATCCCGGGAGGTGCCAAGTGCCAAAGTCCCCCGCGGTTCTCAAATCCAACACGCAGCACAGAGGCCGGAGCACCATCTCGCTCAGGAGGTTGGTTGAAAAGCAACGGGGTAATTCGTAATAGTCGGTGAACAGAACCGCAGGGCTTCTTTCCCAGCTCTCATCATACCGGTAGAGATCAACACCAGCGAGGTTCTAGAAAAACAATTATCAGCATACCCGAGCTCCGCAATTCAATATACGCAGCTCGCCGACCCACCTGATTACGAATTGGAGGAAACCTCTCGGGCCCTAGCTTCTCGAAATAGTCGCCAACGTATTGATATGGCAGATCGAAGCACAAGAAGACACAGTGGATCGAACCATCTGGTCCCGCTAGCTGTTGCAAGGTTCCAGCGCTCTTGCGTTTCTCCAGCATCTGATAAAGTCCCTTCAAACTCAAACCGGATGACGGCCCACAGACGACCCCTTCACGACACAAGTCCAAGGATAACGAGAACGCGTCATATGAACTGACTTCTTCGTGTACGTCCAGCGCTTCCCTCCAGGGAAACTCCTGTACCTGCATCAGGGCAAATGTTCGTGGCCCTGGAACCCTGTCCCCGGGTGCTGTGCACACTCCAAGCCGTAGCACAGATGGCTTGACTTCTTTGAAGTAGGTCCCTAGTCCCGTCATCGTCCCCGAGGTCCCCATTCCAGCACAGAGCACGTTGATCTCTGGTAATTGCTTGAATATCTGGGGTCCAGTCCAGCGGATGTGCGCATGCCAGTTGTCATCATTGTCATACTGGTTGGGATTAACAATCTCGTCGGATTGCATGGCCATCGCCCGAGCAGTCTGGATGCCCCCGCGTTCATCAAACGGGTCAGGCTGAGATGGGCCACCGAAAAGGGTGACATCCAGCCCGAAGAACTGCATCATCCGTAACTTGGTCTCGGTGGATTTATTACTCAGGAAAGCCCTGGTGTCGCTAATACCATGCATCAATCGAGCGAGCATAGACATCGAGATGACTGTGGACCCTGAACTGAATTCCACAATCGTTTGGGTCTTGCCAGGCACCACGGTTTTTTCGAGCAGGTTCATCGCTTGTTTCGTCAGTGCCAGGGCCAGGCACATGGTCTGTCCTACTGAGGGCCGACATACCTGGTATAGCTTTCACGTTGTTGGCCGGGTGCATTGTCATCATTTTGGCATAGATCCGTACTCCATCTTGGTGGAACGGGTTCAATCGATCGGGCAGCTCCACCAGAGGTAACGGAGGCTGGCAGTCCGGATCAAAGTACTTCTTGAGCGCATCCGGCCCAAAGTACACATTGTGTTCATTAATGTTGGTCATTATGTCAGAATATCAGTAGGGGCGGCGAGTATTGACGGCAATGTTGAGCCAACAATCACCCAGGGACGGGAGCATCAAATTATACGGCCCTGCTACAGAAACATGCAGTCACCCTCCCACGCACGAGATGCACTCTTTCCGGCGTGATCTTCGCATTCGGCGCATTGCTAGCGGCCCACTGAGCTTGTTTATTGCACATCTCAAGTCCGCTTCAGGAAGGTCCGTGTCTCATGTTGAGCGGTTATTCATGGAGAGTGGGTTGGAACTCAACTCGTATTCGTCGAAGACTTGCGCAAATGTGCTCAGCTTGAGAGTTCTGCTTGTGACTCTTTCGAATAACGTAAGTTTCTTGAAAACAGCCTCCTGACTCAAGATCGGGCTGAGGTCGGTCTTCGTTGTGTTGGTTTTCTTGCGCTCCGCAGTCTACCCTCTGATGACGGAACCCAACATTCCAAGGTTGTCATATAATAGCACCATGTATAGGCAGAGGGGCACGTACTCCAAAAGATCCACAAGCCGTCACGGCATAGTAGCTGCAACCTTTTACGAAAGCACGAGGGCATTTGCGTTGTTTTAGTCGATCCTTTCCCTTTTAGCCCTAATCGGCGAGACGGCGGCCCTGACACGCAAGGAGCCGTCCGCTCCATGTACCTCTTTGCACCGCAATATGGTCGCTACCCGAGCAATCCTTCCTTCCTGAAATTTGTTTCATTTCACAGTCTTAGATGGGTTTACTAAGTATCCTCGCTTGCAAATCCACGGCGCCTTGCAGCGCTCACTTGGCTCAGTCCTCTTGTCAATTGACCCTTTCGTTTCTCTTGGATAGGCTCGCGCCCTTATCTCAGGGACATCGAGCTCAGCAAGAGATAAAATGCCTGGGGTTTCAATTGAGAATGAAGTCAAACATGATAATCCATCGACTATCTCTCGAGATGTCGTCACCGAGTCTAGCGGAGAAGAGAGCCGGTCAGCTGCACCACCACCCATCTTCAACGAACAGACAAATTATGTCCCATTGAGCACTATCATTACGGTATCTTCCACTACATGGACGCTCAACCACCAACTATCTGTCTAACCTGTCGCAGATATTCCTAGCATGCTCGACAGTTGATTTCGTAGCGGTCATGGACCAAACCACTCTAGCCGGGAGTTTATCCATAATCGGCAATACATTAAATGCCAGCAACAAAACCTCCTGGATATCAGGAGGGTATTTTGTGTATGTCGAGTTAGCAGCCAGACGTGATCCCCAAGTAGCTAACCCAATACAGAACATCAACCTGTTTCCAACTTCTATACGGACGACTCTCTGACATCTGGTCCCGAAAATACGTCCTATACATAGGTCTCGTCATTATGTTCATCGGATCCCTGGCATCATCTCTAGCACAGACCGCCACGCAGCTCATCATTTTCCGCGCCTTCACCGGCATGGGCGGCGGCGGAATCACGTCCATCGCACAGATGATAGTCAGTGACGTGGTTCCACTTCGCGAGCGAGGTAAATATCAAGGCATTCTTGGTGCAGTAATAGCTATCGCCAACGGAATCGGTCCTGTGATTGGCGGTGCTCTATCCCCGATATCCCACAACTCGTGGAGATGGATCTTCCGACTTATGCTGCCACTCACGGCTATCTCAATCCTCGCTGTGATGTTCTTCATGCCTTTGCGGAAGGTCACCGGTAACTGGAAAGCGAAGCTGAAAGCCGTTGATTTCTTCGGTGTCTTTCTAGCTCTAGGAGGCACGGCGGTGCTTATGCTCGGATTGACATGGGGTGGTGGCGAGTATGTCTGGAAATCGACACATGTTATAGCAACGCTCATCGTGGGGGCTGCAGTGTGTGTGGCTTTTGTCCTGTGGGAATGGAAAGGTCATCCGTATCCGCTGATACCTATGCATTTCTTTAAATCTCGCATTGTGAACGGCGCGTGCCTGACCATGTTCATCAACGGGTGGAATATCATAGTCATGCTTTACTACATTCCGACTTTCTACCAGCTTGTGTTCGGTTATTCGACTACCAAAGCTGGTGCCATGGTATTACCCATCACATTGTTGCAGAGTACGTTGCCTTGCCCTACTATCATATTCAGCCACTCTATTCCATGCTTATGAAAAACGCGCAGCTCTGAGCAGCACCCTGTCCGGCCTAATCGTCCACTGGATCGGCCGATATCGCGAATCCATCCTCGTCGGCTGGATGATCTGGGCCATCGGACTCGGCCTGATGTCGACTCTGAACGAGACATCCAATCTAGGAAAGCAGATAGGCTACGGTCTCTTGACAGGTATAGGTTCAGGGAATACATTACAGCCGTGAGACTATCCCCTCCCCCACCAACATATCCCCTAAACTACCTACAACACCAACTTACCCATCCTCAGAGCCCTAATCGCCGTCCAAGCCGGCGTCGCAAGACGAGACATGGCCGTAGTAACCTCATTCCGAAAGTACATCCATCCCCCCACCCTCCACATCTATCCCATCTCCCACCCACTAACACCGACCACCAAATACAGCTTCATCCGCAACCTAGGCGGCACCCTCGGCCTCGCTGTCTCGGGCACAATCATGTACGTACATACCCACATACCCCCTTCCACCTATTCATGCTAACTAACTTCGCAGAAACAACCTCCTCTCCACGTCCATCACCTCCCTCCGCCTAACCACTGCACAAAAGCAATCCTTCCTTGCCAGCCCATCCAACTATCTGTCTAAACTCCCCGCCGACGAAGCGGCATATGTTCGTGCGCTGCTTATCCCCGCGTACAAAGAGGGATTTAGGATCGTGTTTACGGTGAATGCGGCGCTCGCGGCGCTGGCTTTCTTCTTGGCGGTGGCGTTGATGCCGCAGGTGAAGTTGGAGAGGGCGGATGATGAGCGGTTGAAGGAGGAGGGGATGAGGAGGAGAGAGGAGCAGAGAGAAGGGGAGGATTAGGGAGGTAAGTGGGAGTGGGAGTGGGAAGGGGTGAAGTTATACACTACTAGGTCGAGTATATAATGGGTCCATTAGATAAGAAGACAGGGGTACGTACGCATTGTATCCTTGAGTGATTTTTATTTATTTCTCGTGTTGATAATCCTCTGCTACTGCTACCGAGTAAACAAAGCAAGACATCTTTGATAATACATTCATTCAAGTAGTAGTGTAAACTCCCCGAAGAAGTTGATATAAAGCAGGTCGTTGATCATCTCATCATCAAGCTAGTCCAATCCAATCTAGCTATGTTGCAGCAACATCATTTTAACCAATTAATCGATCATTCAATCATTCAATCTGCTGTATGGTTCTTTTGCACCAGCTGAATCAACAATGCCCGAAAGACCCCGAGACGCCGAACGCATTAGAAAATAAGAGAAGTGGGGATTTAAAATTCATCAATCACTAAGACTCGTTCCACAACCCAGTCAACAAACGTCTGTCCCTCTATTCGCCATCGACCATCCCGCCACACCTCATCCAGCCAATAGCTCATACCCTTGCCCTGATGATGAAGACTCAACCCACCATTGCCGCGACGTTTACCCTCCGCCTTGGAGAAATCATTATTCACGCGAAGAGTCCCGATGCCCACACCGGCGGTGCCTTGACGAGCGTGCCATTCGCGTTCGGCTTTCTCCCCGGCACGACGCGCCACAGCTTCTTCGTCTTCGTCTTGGTAGAGCTCGCATTTGTTGCATTCCGTACAGCGCGAGCCGGGATCGATGCGGAAGTGCTCGCAGAAGTGCTTGTAGCCTTCCATTTCTTCGAATTCGTCGTCGTTGCCGGCTTCTAGTTCATCGTTGATGGCGTCTGGTCCGGCCGCGGGATCAACGTTCTCGACGAGGTTGGCGCGACGGCGTGGTCGAAGTCGTCCCAGTCGGTTTGCGGACTTGATTGGAGGTCCAAGAGCCTTGCGGCAGAGGTAGCACATGGAGTAGCCGCAGACGCAGGTTAGCTTGTTGCAGCCAGAAGACTTGACGAATGAGAGGCCGCAGCGCGGACAGGTGCGCTTCACAGCTGCAGTGCGAGCGGCCTCGACGGTGGCCCGCAGGTCGAGGAGGAGCGGCTCATGGCACACGTGAGGGTCACGCCATGGCTTCTGGCAGGTGATGCAGCTGACGCGGCGGCAGGCAGGGTGCGCGCAGGTGAATTTCTTGGGTCGGGTTTTGAGGCAGAGGTTGAGAAGGGCGTTCTGAAAGATAGAAAAGACAGCAGAAGAGTTGACAAAATAAAGGATCGCTATAGGAATGATAAGTATGGGTATCAAGTCGAGTAAGAAGATGGTGATCAGAAGCGTAGAGATAAACCCGTCGCGCCGAAAGCGCCACACACGGCCTTGAGCAGACGGGTGGTAAACCGGATCAACTTCGGCATACGAACAAAAGGGACATCTAATGAGCTTCAGCTGGGACTTGAGCAGAACCTCGGAGGAAAGTCGCGTCTCGAATTTGGTAAATGTCTCAAGCCCGGCCTTGTCAAGCAGGATAGCCTGCTTGACGATCGCTGGGTCCAAGGTCCCGGGGCAGCTGTCGTGGTCGAACGGCGCCAGGCATTTCAACGTCGACTTTTCCACATCGACCGATTTACCCCAGCCCTGACCGAACAGAGCCTCGTGGATGGTTCGCCGGATGCAGCCATAGCAGATAATGTGCGTATTGTCCGAGCATGTTGAGATTTGCTCGAATGTCACATCGTCCAAACAGCACTCGCACTCATACACAGCATCAGCCTCTTTGGCTTCCGTTTCGTTCAGCTCCTCCGCTAACTTCTGGTCTCTATCCAGCCTCTCTTCCCGTCTGGTTCGAAGCAGTGGTGCCAGCAGGGCTCGGTATAGCTCCCGGTCCAACTCCGGGCACTCCGTCTTTTTCAGCCGCGGGATCTCGTCACCATCTGGTTGACGCTGCCACACGATTAGCGGGTGCTCGTTCTTATCTTTACTGCGCTTGAACGAAGGAAGAATGCTGTTGAAGGTCGCACGCCAGGTTCTCCGGGAAAGATCTTGCAGAGTCGGACGGGCTCGCAAGTAACAGAAATTCACTTCTGCCAGCACTGCTTCCACCGTACTCTTACTCAGACCATTAAACTCCTTTGTGAGAGCCGCCTTCACGGCAGCCTTATATTCATTTGTCCGGAACAACTCCTCAGGCGGAACTGAATGATCGTGTCCGGTATGTTGTAGATCATTTTTGCCATCTTCTTCCGTTCCCCCAGCCCCAGCTGGCACGTTCCACCGCCCGGCTACCCACGTCTCTTTGTGACGTAGCAACTGCTCGACGCAGACATGGAGACGGCTCTGCCCATCGAATCGGACCAGGAGTTCTCGGAAGACTTCGATGCGGATATCGGGAAAGATTCGAGCTAGGGTCTGCAGGGCCTGATTCAGCTCCTCCTGTTCTCGTTTCTGCTCCTCAGAGGTGGTATTCGAGGCGGCGAGGGAGCGTGAGCGTGAGGTTATTCCAAAAGGATTATTGCGGAGAGCCTCGCTGATGGTTGTGGAATTGCTGCTTTCACTGGCACGAAGCGCAGAGGAGGTGGTAGATCTAGAGAAGCTGGGGACAGATAGGGAGAGCACCATCGTTGCACTGACGGAGGGGCGCAAGACCGAGCTTGCTACATGATCGTCGGAGGGTAGACGGGAAGGCGTCTGGCCAGAAGGAAGGGTATCTGGCCGGCGAAGTTAATTCCGGCTTAGTGTCGGGAAGCCAGAGAGATGGAAGAAGATGGCGTGGGATGATGGGGCGTGGGGGGAGGAGGAGGAGGGAAAGATGATGGGGTGATCTGCTGGATGGAAGGATGGGAAGATGATGGGAGGAGGGATGATGGAATGAATCAATGGGGGAAGTTGACTCCCGTTGACTTACTCCAGATGATCCAATCACGGGACTGGTACAATGCTCCACCCAACACTTTTGCCGAATATACTTCAGCTAATGATGTATAACTATGTATTGATAGCACAACAATGAGGCTATGCTGCATCCGAATTCTCCGCTCTTGACCTGACAGCATGAGGTTGATTACTGCCTGGTAAGATTGGTGTTGGCCCAACCAAAGAAGAATATTTCAGGCCATACTGGACTAGGAGAATCACATCCTCATCTACAAGGTACTTAATTGACGCTTACTTACTATTTGGATAGCATTATCCTCGAATAATGTTCGGAAGGGGTTCAAATGTCCTTTCTTCGCTCAATACTCATACTTAACCTTCAGAGTAAGCCTACACACATTCTTACTTAGATTTGTTATTATGAAGTATGGATGCCTGGTATCAGTACCTGCTGGTGCCTGATCCAGCCTACCATCCCGTACTCACTCAACGTAATACAACCCATCACAATAGCCAATCATTAGCATCATTCCCTCCCCATACACCATGACCCATGGATACAAGGGCGTGCGACTTACACCGTTAATGGTCCCCGATTTCCACGATTGTGATGTTAAAGAATCCTCTTTCTTTACAAGATGGCAGCACTTACCCTCTCCATAAGAAGTGCAGGCACAAGCCGAAGCCCAGCATCTCGCTGGAGTAAATCCAGATCGAAGGAACGACTTATCCACCAACCCATATTACAGGCAGCTACCTGTCCTGGTCTATTGAAGGATGAATTGTATGCTTGCGTAGTTGATACCATAGCAATGGGTTACGTGCATTTGCAAGACAGGCAGGCAAGGTCCAAAGGATACTACATGGTAGTGAAGAAGAGAACAAGTGCATAAAGTCACATTATGATAGCGAATGGCCTCTGCTAATCCAGCTAGATGAAGCCTGAAGCTCATGCAAGGGTTCTGGGCTTTCGAGCTGCAGAAGATGCGGAGTGTCGTAGAAACGCAGACTACAGTCTTTAATTCGACGGGGTTTTCTACTGACTAGTACTGAAGGACGGGACAAGCTTCTTTGCATAAGGTGAGAGTGCGTTCAGACTGACTGTTGTGGGTTGTTGGTATATCGCAGTCGAACCCAGAACAATCCACCCTCGTCACCTGCTTCCAGACCCCCTCATCAACTACAGGGGTGCGTACATTCACCATATGGTCACTCAAAGTATGACTTAATTTGAACAGGAAAATCAATTCATGACGTTATGTACATACAGTCTGATAATTCACACCACTCCCCTGTTTTACAACTTGGCCTTGGCACCCTCCAACAGCTCGGCTCCAGCCCCCGTAATGGCAGGCTTGCCTGTGTCTACCACTATGGTCTGGAAGAGAACCACATTGCCCTCCTTCCACATCTCCGTCCGGAGGGTCTGGCCCGGCAGCACCACACCGGAGAAGCGGACCTTGAGGTTCTTGAAGGCACCATATGTGCTGAACACATGCTTGCCCGAGACGCCCAGCGAGCAGAGGCCGTGCAGAATGGGGGTCTTAAAGCCACCCACCTTGCTGAACTCGGGGTCAATGTGCAGAGGGTTGCGGTCGCCGTTGAGGCGGTAGAGCGCAGCCTGGTCTTCCGAGGTCTTCTCCTCGACAACCGCATCGGGCTTGCGCTGAGGCGCCTTGTAGGACGCAACGGCGGCCTTGGGGCGGCGAGCAGTGGGCTTGGGCGATCCGCCAAAGCCGCCACTGCCACGGATGAAGACGGTCGACTCGTTGTAGAAGAGATCCTCGCCGGTCTTCGCGTCCTTGGTGGTATAGCCGGAGACGACGAGGGCGGCGTTGCCCTTGTCCACGACATCGATGAGCTTGGGGTAGGTCAAAGTCTTGGCTGCGGTGGGAATGGGGAACTTGCGGATCTCCATGTACTGCTCGCCATGCAGCAACATCATCGGGGAGAAGTTGGCGACAATCTCGTCCATGTTCCAGGGGTTGGCAGTGTTGAACCAAGGGATCACACCGTATGTGGGCAGAGCCTGGAAGTGCTCGTTGTTCTCATACACCAGGGGAAGATCAGTGCGCTTAGCGCCGAGACTGAGGTTGTAGAGGATGACATCCCGGTCCTCGTAGTCAAAGGACGTGCCATCGGTGGTGGCCTGCTTGGCCTTCTCGATGGCCTGCAGGATCTTATTACCGCCCTCCGAGTCACCGCCGCTGCGGTTGCTCATGTTGGCCATGATCTTCTCCGAACCGGCCTGGCCATCTTCGGGGTGGTCCGCACGGCCATCGTCGAAGTTGGTGATCTTCTTCCAGTTCTTGAGCACTTCCTCAGGGGTAAGCTTAACGTCGACAGGGAATCCATGACCGCCGGTACGCTGCCAGCGAGTGCGGCCGAACCAACCGCTGCCACACTCGTACAGACCCTTTGTGCTGGGCTCAGGCACAATGTCCGAGCAAAGAAGAGCCACCAAGGGAGCAACGTAGTCAGGCTTGAACGCCTGGACCATCTCCTCGGGCATGATGGTACGGGTCATGTTGGTACCAGCATTGGGGGCAATGGTGTTGACCTTGATGTTGTACTTAGCACCCTCAAGAGCAAGAGTGCGAGAGAATCCAAGAATTCCGAGTTTCTAATAGACAGTTAGCGAAAGTCATTACGCAAATCAGCATTGGCTGAAACATACCGCGGCAGCATAGTTGGCCTGTCCAAAGTTTCCGTAGATACCGCTGGTGCTGGCCGTGTTGACAATACGACCATACTTCTGCTTGAGCATGTAAGGCCAGGCAGCCTTGGTCACCTTGTAGGTGCCGCGCAGGTGGACGTTGAGGACAGGGTTCCACAAGTCGTCGTTCATGTTTGTGAAAGCCTTGTCGCGCAAGATACCGGCGTTGTTGATCAGGATATCAATACGGCCAAAGGCATCGATGGCGGTCTTGACGACATTCTCGCCATCTTCGCAGGATGCCTTGTTGCCAGCAGCCTGGCCGCCCATCTTCTTGATCTCCTGGACCACGGGCTCGGGGTCAACGAGATCGTTCACAACGACAGAAGCGCCATACTTGGCAAAGAGCAGACAGTAGGCACGACCAAGACTATAATAGTGTTAGAACCGATAAATCGCTATCACTTAGCTGCGGCGTTACATACCCATTGCCACCACCAGTGACCAGAGCAACCTTGCCCTTGAAGTTGGGCTCCTCACCCGCTTGGGCGCTGGGCAACTTCAAGCCATCCTCCAGGAGACCCATAAAGTCGGCAGGCCCGGTGGGGTAGTCAGGCTGAGAGAAGTCGTTGACATCGTTCCACTTCCGAGCAATAGCACCGGGAGTCAGGGAAGCATCGGTCTTCAGAAGAGCACCCTTGGCACGTTCCCAGCGCAGCTTGGCGACATGTCCACCACCAACTTCGTAGATTCCACCAGTCTCAGTAGTGTTGGATGAGTGGACCAAAGCAGCCACCAACGGGACGACCCAGTCGGGCTTGAGGTTCTCCAAAACCTCGGGGGGCATGACCGTGGCCGTCATGCGGCTAGCAGCTGTTTCAAATTAGTCACTGCATGTTCCAGAGAAGCCGAATCAACGTACCAATTGGCGCGATGACGTTCGCAATGATGTTGTACTTGGCACCTTCCTTCGCCAGCGTCTCAGTGAAGCCGACCTGTCCAAGTTTGGCAGCTTATATAGTCAGCTACGCAGCTTCTAAACTCCGAACACGCCCCGAAGCTTACCAGAGTAGTTTGCCTGGCCGAAGCTACCGAAGAGACCAGCCGATGAAGCAGTGTTGATGATGCGGCCATACTTTTGTTTCCGGAAGTGAGGCCATGCGGCTCTTGCGCACTGTAGACAAAGCCTCGCGTCAGCAACCACCTGAAGGCAAAGGCGAGAGCACCCAGCCTACCTTGTATGCGCCATATGTGTGCACTCTGTAGATAAGGTCCCAGTCCTGGTCTTTCATGTTCTTGAAACTGATATCCCGGAGGATACCGGCGTTGTTGAGGAGGACATCGATGCGGCCAAAGTTCTTGATGGCGGTTTCAATGATGGCTTCGCCGTTCTCGACACTGTCGTAGTTTGCTACCGCCTTGCCGCCAGCAGCTCTGATTTCTTCGACAACCACATCGGCAGCCTAGGGTAGACACTCGGAGTCAGCGGGATTCAACAAAGGGCGTTGGGAAAGGTCCGTGTGGCCATAGATAACATACCTTGGCCGACTTGCCCTCGCCAGAATGGGAACCACCCAGGTCGTTGACAACGACATTTGCACCCCTTGAAGCAAAGAAGAGAGCATATGCCTTACCCAGGCCACCACCAGCACCGGTGACAACCACGGTCTGGTTGTCGAAGCGCAGCTCAGACATGTTGAATAATCAATGTGAGGAGGAAAGGAGGGGAGGTGGAGAGATGGGGAGATTAGAGGGAGAGGACGGAAATGCGAAATGAGGAGATGAGACGGGGTATTATATGAAAGTTAGTTGGAGAGGAGAGGAGAAGCTTAAGGGGATTTGTCTGGGGGAGGGAAGAGATGAAGAATCCGGGGGAAGAGGACGGTCGCAATGCTCGGCAAGCTGGACCAGGGAACCTCGGCATCTTTTGCAGGTGAAGCTCGGAGGTTTGTTCGTTTGGCGCTAAACCGATCGGGGGTGGCAGATGATGCTGCCTTCACATGCCGATGTCCACATCCATGATTTAGTCCTCTCTGGATGATTAGTATACACACTACAAATTATTGAAGCAAGGAGTCCGTCCCATGGTTATTCATTCTACAAAATCGGTGTCCTGTTGCTTTCAACTTCCCAACTCCCACTCGGTTTCCAAGATACTCCGGGGACTACCGTCCTGGTTCGGTGACACCTTTCTTTTGTCTATCCTTATGCGACTAGTTTACGGACTACCAACATGTTCTCCGTAAGATCCAATTAGACTTGTCAAAGTCAACAGCACCTAAAACGCAAAAGAATGACCTAGATCGACAACTCTAGTCGACGCTCCATGATCATGTCTGCCACCAACATCATCAACTTCCTGCTGACTCAGACATGTGATTCTCAGCCAACGTCATGCCACGTGCCGCTACTCCCTTTATCCTTTTCACATTATTGTTAAAGTCCATCACATCCATATATGTCAGATACCCATTCGTGAGGCATATAGCAGACTCTTCATGGGCTAGAGTTGGCGCATTGTGCCCATAGAGATGCCGGCCAATCCTTCAGGCAATACATTTGTCCTCCGCAGAATCTCCCGCTCGGATCACCTCCGAAGCTTAGTCTTTATTAGCAGTATATATCATTGTAGCCAACGACAACAGGATATATTACTTACACATAGACCAAATCTATCACACTTCCCCATAAAACCACATAACAAGATACAATCTCTCACAATGCCCGAAATTATCGACGACAAATCCCAACACTGCATCCCCTTCCTCCTCGACCGACTCCAAGCCCACCAAGCCCGCCATCCCACCAACACCCCGCCTTTCTTCCTCGGTCTAAATGGCGTTCAAGGTGCCGGTAAAACAGTTTTGGTAAAACACTTCCCAACCTTGACCACCATCTGTATTTGAAAAACCAGGTCGATTTACTAACAATTGACGGAATGGGAAAAAGGTCTCAACCCTCCAATCCACCCTCCGCTCTCCACCCTACTCCCTAAACGTGGTAACCCTCTCTCTCGACGACCTGTACCTCACGCACGCGCAACAAGAACACCTCGCCGCCTCGCACCCCTCGAACCCGCTCCTCCAGCACCGCGGACAACCCGGCACCCATGACCTGACACTAGCGAAGGAAGTGTTCTCGGCGTTACGCGCGGGCCAGCGCACCGCTATCCCGGTGTACGACAAGTCGGCGTTTTCGGGACAGGGCGATCGCGTGCCTGCGTCTCAGTGGGAGGTGGTGAATAAGGAGGGTGAGGAGAAGGTGAAGGTGGTGATTTTCGAGGGGTGGTGTGTTGGGTTTCGTGCGTGGGATGAGGAGGTGCTTAGGGGGAAGTGGGAGGATGCGGTTAGGTTGAGAGAAGCTGCTACTGCTGGTCAGGGTGAGTATAAGGGGAGATTGGGGTATGTAGGACTTGAGGATGTGAGGACGGTTAATGAGGCGTTGAGGGGGTATGATGCGATTACTGAGTAAGTTTTCTCTAGTTCTGGTGGGAGGAATTGGGGCTAATGATGATGGTAATTGCAGTCAGTTGGATGCGCTGATCCATATGTGAGTGATTCCTGCCAGTTCTCTAGTGTATTATTCCAAGATGCTCATTGATTGCTTGTACAGTGATGCGCAAGACCTTCATTTCGTCTACGATTGGCGACAGGAGCAAGAGAGGACCCTTCGCGCTGCCAAGGGGACTGGCATGACGGAGGAACAGGTCGCTAAGTTTGTTGATGGCTGTGAGTATTGTTCTTTGGTCCAGCAGTTCTATTCAAAGTACTGACTAGGCTACAGATTACCCGTCTTATGAACTCTTCACTGAGACTCTCCGGGAGGGTACGTTCAAGCCTGTCCCTCATGCTACTACGGCATCTGCTCCGCCAACAGGCTGGGAAGGAAGACAGCTTCGGTTGGTTGTGGACAAGAATAGGAGAGTGCAGGAGATTATCAACATTTAAATGCCGGTGGTTATCTGCCGCTTCCTTGATGTTTGTGTGGCAGAGGTTGGTATATGTTTGGATTGACACGGATGCATTCTGCAATCCATTGAAGCGTTGTCGCTTCGACAAAATAGAAAGAAGGTCTTGACGAACTGAGAAAATAGAGAATATAGAAAGAAGAAAATTAAGGATATCATTATCGGATAAATCATAGACGCCGTGATACGTGGTTAAGGAGATATGTTCAGGTTTTATTACAATGCGTTGTTGCCGTTCTCTGTTATCGGTGGGAAATATACTTATTGCAAGTAGTAACATACCATCGGACTACTATCATATTACTCACCCATGCTATAACACGATATAGAAAATTCACAACCAACTACAGAAAAGAACCACAAGAGAATACAGACCAGGATAGTAATCAAAGTAACGTCCAACTCCAACCCGATAATAACATATATCGTCACTCACTGGCTAGCGACCATTTTCTGCCACCCTGCATGAAGGCGGTAGAAAAACGTACAGAATGCTAGCTCAGTTTCTCGGGCCTGTACGAAAAATATATCCGCTGATAGCCGCCTATATCCGCACTTTTCTCTGCGAGGTCGATTGGATTCTGCCGCTTTTAGCGGTCAGGGAAGCGGACGGGGATGGCAGTAGTTTGCTTTCTCTGGTGAGAATACTACGAAGTAGTACAAAGTGGTATAGATGTGAGAGGCTTTCTATGGTGATAATAATCGAGTCAGGGGATACTACAGGTGTAGTGTGGATCGGGAAAAGAACTGCGAAGACTACAGGTAGAGATACAACTGCGTTTCACTTACGAAGGAATAGATAGTCAGGTTGTACGAAGCTTTTAATTTTTTGTACCCAGATACTAGACCAGTACCCGCTAACTAGGAAATTCGGAGCTCATAACAACCCGGTACGGACAAGCCATCACCGATGATGAATCTAGTTCATCTGGCGGATGAGGCCGTTGATGTTCTCCTCACGGTTACCGTAGTCACCACCCTCGATGAAGTGCTTGAACTTGCGGGTGTGGAAGCCACCAGTGGGGTTGGAGAGCTTGAAGGGCCACAGGAAGTTGTTGGCCTGCTTGAAGTTGGGGCCAACGGTGTAGATCTCGTGGATCAGATCCTCCATGCAGACAATGCCGTACTTGCCGAGGTTCTCCTCAATGATCTGGTTGTCAGTGAGGGGAACACGCTGCTTGTCGACCTTTCCGTAACCGCGCTTGTAGACGAGCTCACGGACGGACTTGAGGTTGGGGTAACCGTAGGCAATGTAGGGGTTGATGATGGTCAACATCTCCTGGGTAGCCTTGGTAAGACGGACGAAGGTACCGTTGTTGATCTGGAGCAGACGGAGCAGCTGGAGGATCTTGCGGGGCTGGGGAGGGATCTTGTTGATACTATCAAGTTGTTAATATCATGACAATTCATATGGCATGCTAAATTAACTTACCCCTTGATACGGATAACGAAGACAAGCTTGGGCTCGTCAGCAACGTAGAAGTTACCCTCCTTGCGAGCAACGCGGGCAAGGCGGATCTTCTCGCGCTCAGCATCGCGGTACTCCTTGACGTAGGACTCGGCACGCTTGAAGATAACGGCGCGCTTCTCCTTGTTGGCCTGGATTCATCTGTTAGCAGATGGTCTTTGCAAATGACTCGTGAAATAAAATCATTTGAAGCTTCATTTTCAGCCCCGAAAGATGGTTAACGAAGCGACAGCATCGACCGTAGTCTAGTCGCGTGGTGGTTGTTGTCATCACTATAGAAGGAAGAGGGAAAGAGGATATATGAAAAAGGTATAACTTACGGCCTTCTTCTTCTCGGCCTCCTCACGGGCGACAGCGCGAGCCTGCTCCTGGCTCTTGCGCTTCTTCAGGAGGGTCTCGGGGACGAGAACCTGCTCCTTGGTGGGGACAGTGCTGTTAAGGTCAGTACAGTCTGTCCGTAATGATTACACAGACTTTCGCCGAGTGTAAGAATTGCAGCTATAGTGCCACATTCTCATACTGAAGGCAATGGATAAAAAAGCACTCGACGACATGCATTTGATCGGTGAGGTAGAAGAAAAAATTTTCTTCTTCACTTGTCGAGCCCGCGCGATCCAGCTCACTACTAGTCACGCATTCTCAGCAGCAACGTTCGCAAGCCCGCGGCGACTACGACCAAGTATGATAATTCTCATCCGACAAAACCCCAAGCATAACGCTCGGGAAGTGGTGTTGACGCTTTTCGCCCGTACCATGCCCTATCATGGCGCAATGGTACACGACGATAGCTCACAACAATTGTTTTCAAGGAGAAGGTTCACAGTGCCTTCAACCTCAATACCCCAGACCGTGCCGCACCCAATCCTCATATTCCTAACAAAGTCTTAGGCGATTCAGGGGCGAAGCGCGGTCGCGGGAAAAATCGAGCTGGTGCTCAGCAACCGTTTCTGGTCGCAGCATCTCCAGCGAGAAAGGACGACTATATCTGTAACCTCACAGGCACCTCGAGCGATCAGCCGCAGGGGAATCTCAAAGGGAGTCTCACGTAGCAGTGGAGGCCATTGTGACGGTCCGTAGAGTTCGCGAGTTGGGCGATTGGCGAAGGCTGTCGTACTGGAAGAAGATCAAGAGAAAGAAAAAAGCCGCTGCGAATCGAGAAAAATGGGTTGTGTGGGTGGATACCCCCGCTAAGCCGCATACGGCTAGCCACCTTGGCCGGCCCATTTGTTCCTTTTGGGAATCTTTCAAGCCCTTATCGTGGTCAGGGTATCCGTTGGTCAGCTGACCGGAGCTGATAAGGACCCAGTGGCAGTATGACAGCATCTATCTAGCGCTCTCGTGGTTACCCCACGCGCTCCGATAATCGAACTCTCTCCCAGAGCAGACAGCTGATCGCTATGGCTACTCGTCGAGGAGTTGGACTTGGGGCCTTTGCCAATCGCACTCAAGCCAGCCAGTCATTTGCGAATCATGGCGCCAATCTACGCTCCTCGCATCTCTCCTCTTTACAGACGCAACTGTCCGTATTCCAGTCATTACTCCACACCTTCGCGCTGGAACACAGCTCCACGATCAAATCGAACCCGACATTTCGAGCAGAGTTCGCTCGTATGTGTAATGCTATCGGAGTCGATCCCCTCGCAGCCAGCAATGTCAAAGGCAAGAATGCGCGCAAAGGGTTGGGGGAGATCGGGAGTTTCTGGACGCAGATCATGGGTGGAGACATGAACGACTTCTACTTTGAAGTAGCTGTTAGAGTGGTGGAACTTTGTCGAGCTACCAGAAGCGAGAACGGCGGGTTAATCGGTGTTGAGGAATGTCGGAAACGAGTAGGCAAGGGGAAGGCTATTGGTAGTGGACTGGAGGTTACAGAGTACGTACTCACCCTTTGCTCCACCTTGTGATTAGTGATACAGTGTACTAATCTAAGTTACCTTCTGCGACATGCAGTGACGACGTTCTCCGAGCTGTCAAGAGTCTGGAACCGCTTGGCTCTGGGTTCTCCATTGTACATGTCGGCAGCAAGCAATATATTCGATCGATTCCCAAAGAGCTAAACACAGATCAGGCTACTGTGCTCGAGGCAATTCAGGTTCTTGGCTACGTGAGCATCTCTATGCTTCAAGCGAATTTGAATTGGGAGAAGGCTCGGGCACAGACTGTCATTGATGATCTGCTGGCGGATGGCCTTGTCTGGCTAGATGCCCAAGCGGAGGAAAATGAGTATTGGTCACCTCAAAATCTGCTAGATGACAGTGGGTGAGTATAGTTTGTCGAAGGCTACTACTGTCTGGTATCATAGTATATCCAGTGACACCTGAGGTGTTGGGACTGGCGCAAGTGTCCAGCGGGTACTGGATGCATGGGGATATATAATCATTGCTCTTGTCCGGGGACATCTCGAGACTGGACAGGGCATGAAGAGTCCAAGATGCAGTGGCTTGGTTTATCCCGAGGCTGCTATGGAATCCCTCCCGGTCATGTCATATATATCTTCCTCAAGTCTGTTGAGAATCGTGCCAGATTGATGGTCGGTATCAGGATCCTGGAACGACCTTCCTAGCTTATGGTTGAACTACTGGGAAATGCTGGTTTAGAGCGTCTACGACCTGTACATTTTTGAAGCGTTAGCGTGCATTGATTTTCATCCTTCCATATACAATCTAGACTTTTCAGGCTCTTTATGTCCATCGTTCATTCCAAACGTGATATTCATCTGCGGAGAGTAAAAATACGGTATGCATGACAGTAGGAGAACTCTAAGAAGAAAGGGCTAGAGTGGCCCAACGGAAGAAAAAAGGGAAAAGAAAAAAGGAACCATGATGGGTAAGAGCACACATGGAATCATACGCAGTTAAATTCCAAGAAAAGGGAGCATTAGAACCATGAAAAGAAATCAATGCCATTAGAAATCATTTTTATGCCTTGATCGCCCCGCCCAATGCACCACCGCTAAACTGCTGTCCACCAGGCCGACGACCTTGTTGGCCACCAGGGAATCTGGGACCACCACGGGCTTGGCCACCACCTCGAGGACCACGGCCACCACGGGCGCCGGCGCCCTGATCGCGCTGGAAGGCGTTGGCCATGCCTTGCGTACGCTGCTCGAGAGTCTTTTCGTTGGACTCCAGAAGGTTCATCGACTTGTCGGCGAGGGTGACGATCTGGGACTGGAGACGCGACAACTCGACACCCTTGCGGAAGACAATGGCATCGTTGACCTGGTCGAGAGCAGCGGCCAGTTCCTCGTGAGAGATCATACGGCTGATGATAGCGGCGATCTTCTTCTCGGGGAGCTCGAACATGGTAGCCAGGGTGGAGATGGAGAGGCTGTCGTAGAAGGGGGCGTAGGTGAAGAGGTAGGTGCGGAGACCCTCCTCCTGGATCTGCTGGGACAGCATCTCCTTGACCTTGTCGGGCTGGGGCATCAGATCCCAGATCTTGATCGAGTTGAGCATCTCAGCGGCCTTCTTCCAGTCTCCGGCGGCGAGGAACTTGGCACTCATGATGACACCGTCACGGGTGTTCTCAGCAGGACCAGTGAAAACCTGGCGCTCGTTGTAGTCCAGCATACGACGGAAGGTCTTGGAGATGACACGACGCTTCATCTCGGGGGAGGAAGAAGTCTGAGCCATCAGAGGGACCTCCAGGAACATGCTCGACGTCAGGTAGATGCACTCGAGAAGCTCCAGGTTGATGTGCATGTGGAAGGGCAGCTGACGCTGACGCTCCAGACGCTCCTGTTCCGGCGAGACGGTGGAGTAGCGCTGGAGGATGATGCCCTGAGCCAACAGCTCTTTCTGACGTCCACTGCCGCAGACCTCAGAGAGGGTGGTCTGAGCCTCGTAGATCAGGCCGGCCCGGAAGGCACACAGACCGATCTGAACAAGGGTGCGGTTGAAGAGGATCTGGGTGGAAACGTCGAAGTTGGCGATGTTCTCGGTAAGGTGGGACATGAGCATCAGGTCACGAGAGCGGTAGTACTGGTCGTGCAGAGCAAGGAAGTAGATCTGGCACAGCATCGCACGAGCACGGATGATACCGTCGCTGTGCTTGAACAGGTAGCTGCAAAGGGTCTGCACAAGGTTGGTCACATCTCCCGTGTTGCCACGGGGAGTGACGTTGGATTCCAATTCGGAGGGAAGGACCTTCCAGGTACCTTCCTCCAGGATCGTGACGACCTGAGAGGGCTTGAAGTAGATGTGCTCCAGTCTCCTCATGACCACGCGGTTAAGGCTGTCCTGACGGGGATCGGTCTTCTCGGACTGAGTAAGACCCTCGACGTAGACCTGGGTGCGCACAAGGTTGGCGTACAGCTGCTTCTCATCACCCAGACGGTCGATGTACTCGGCAGTGTGGGGGTCAATGTGCTGCAGGGAACGGGTGAGCTCATCATCCAGTCTCTCGACATACGAGACAATGCTGCCGGGGATGTGAACGACCTCGCCGGGGGCGGGTGTGGGCTGCTTCTCATCATCCTCCCACTCTTCGGCACCCTCGGTCACGACATAGGTGCGGTTGTTCTCGAGAACGGACAGAAGGGTAGCGAACTCCTGCTCGGCGAACTTCCACTGATCGACGGCCATGTAGTTGCTGGTAGAGGAAGAGGTGAGATCGAAGCGGGTGGAGATCATGGTCAAGTAGATGCGGATACGCTGGTAAGGAGTCTGGGCAACCTCCAACAGCTTCTCCATCGTGCGGATCTGCTCCAAACGGTCGGTGTTCTTCTTTCCGCGGGATTCGACGATAACGCGGAGGTGCTTCAGGATGCTCTCGGGGGTGTACTGGAGGGTCTTGCCGCCACGGCCAACGGTCGCGAAACCATCGTCATCACCGGCGGTGGAAAGAGCAGGGGCTTCGATACGCTCAATCTTGGTCAGGCGAGGGGCGGCGGCGACGGGACGGGCCACTTCCTCCTTGGCTTCCATGAAGCCATCCTTGTCCTTCCTGTACTTGTCGATCTGAACGGCGTAGTCCTTGTTGTTCTTCTTGATACGCTGCTTAACGGCGTTGAATCCCTTGGCGTTGCTGGCGTTCATCTTCTTGTTGCTCGACTTCTGCTTCGAGATGGTCTCGTTGACGAAATCCTCCAGGTCCGCAACGGTCTTGACGTAGATCTTCGGGGTCGGGCCAGACTGGACAATCTTGACGATTTGACGGTTCAGCTTGTCAAACTCTATAAAACGGATGTTAGTATCGAAAACCCATCCTTCCCTCCGCTGCCGGTCCCGCAATTCCATTCTTTGATTCCAGGGCCAAACGCACCTGTCGAGATAACCGCCCAGTCGCTGATCTTCTCGGCATTTTCAATCAACTTGACGGTGTTTTCGAGTTCCTCCAACCGCTTGTCCTTGGCACTCTTGACGATAGTTACTCGTTCCTCATCCTCGCTCTCTTCGCTTTCGGAAACATTCTTCATGAAACGGTTGGCACCGGTCTTGCCGGCATCCTCGTCCTCGGAAGAGGACTCCTCCTCCTCCTCCTCAGACTCTTCCTCGCTGGACTCCTCCTCGGACTGCTCCTCCTCCTCGCGATCACTGTAGAGCTCCTCCTCCTCAGAGGAGCTGGACTCGCTGTCGCTACCGCCACCGTAGAAGAAACGCGACATGTTTGCGGATATTATTCAGACGCTCGAGATCGGGAAAGTCGCGGGAATCGAAGAACGGCGGTCTCAGTCGTCGCCGGGGGGATAACACGCAGGTGGTAGGGCGGATCGGGCTGGTTCTTTTGCCTGGCAGGAAAATCCGTTGTGAGGGTTCCGAGCCGCAGAGGTTGGGCGGCGCGAGTCACACACGAAATTTAAGCGAGGCGGCGCCTAACCACAACAGGCAGGCGGCCAGTCTCCGGGACGCGGATTGCCATTGTTCTTTTCCCCCTCAACTCCAGATCTCAATGGATGCTATTTTATTTACTTCACTGATGGGACCTTGTCAGATCAAGATCCACGGCCTACAGTCATTGCGGAGATCCGGGCGTCAGAGACCAGATGAGACTACAGCGTTTTCCGGCTTATTGGAGTTCCACCGGCCTCCCGTGATTCGATTGTCGCCCGTGTCGTTCACTTCACCCGCCAAAGTACCACCACACCACACCCACACCCCCCCCCGTGGGGAAGAGAAAAAGAGATCAAGCAGCTCTAGCTTTTCCAGCCCATCTAAACTCGGGCCTCATATCTCATATTTTACTATCCAAGTTACAGTCATGTTGCTCTTTGAATCGTGCAAAAAGGGACGGAACTAACAAAAAGGACATGTCTTGCATAGCACATAACAGGTGGGATCTTCGTGCAAATATTTGGGTAGAAGGAAATGAAAATTCAAGAATCAACATAAATCACCTCTTTCCGAGTACTCCTGGCTATGCCGAAAACAGCCACATACAGGAACCTAGGAGAATTGACAGGGGAAAAGGAATAAATGAGGATGAGCATTGGGAAGCACTGCAGCGCTCAACTATAGGGCAAGGGAGCACCTGTCCACCGTAGCGTGCTGCTGTAGCTTGACAAGCAGGCCATCCGTGTTCGCCGCCACGGCGGAAGTCTGACGTTAAATATATCCCTTGGGAACTTATGTTGCCTGTCACGTAGGGGACTTTCATTTGTCCCGTGCCTAACAACAAGGCAAACCGGCTGTCACAGGACTTTCATGGAGACAGAACTCACACGTACCAAGGACCAATTCAGGTCTCGAGGAAAGCTGACGGTAATGAGCTTTAAATCGAGCAGGCTCCCAGATACCAGGAAGGAGGCCATTTGAGTGTAGCTCTGCGTCCAGTTTCTGGTGATGGACGCGCAAAGGAGCACACACTTGCCTATACAGAAAAAATGGCTTGTCCGTAAGGCCGATGGACATCCATGTGCCATCGGCCTGTTCCTGGGTATGCGTGTTCTCAATGCCACTGGTTTTGGCCCATAAAGCCTTCACCCCCTAACACCCCATCCTCGAGGGTTCGAATGAAGTCGCGGTTTCTTGTACCGCCTGTACGACTTCCTCGTCGCCTCTGACCAGCGGAATTGGGGTCGACATACCCATCTGGAGGTGGGGGGTAGTATGCCGGACTAGGCTGTAATCGAATAGGTGCATTGGGGTCGAGGTGGCTGGCCACACGCTGGATTGTTGGCGGAATACCTCCACCCTGAGGATCCATGGTAGATGCCCGTTGCCGCCCAGCCCTTGTTGTCGCTTGCGCGTAGAGGCTCTGGGAGGGCGCATACTGTGCTTGGGGCACTTGGCCAGGGATGAGGTTCATCTGATGACCGTACGCCGGTGGCTGCGTGGGGTAGGGCGGAGGGGCACCTTGCTGATGACCAGTGAACATTCCATTGTACATTGGCGGCGGCTGAGCATGCGTGGGCGTGTGGAACTGATTCAGCTGCATAGCGTAGGCATTCTGTGCGGCTGACTGGGCATGGGCTGCTTGTGCGGCCCTCTGCTTGCTGGCAGCTTCTGCCTGCTGCTGCTGTTGAATTCCAGGGGGAACAGTCTTGTTCAGAGATGAGTACTTCAGGTTCATCGGGGGCATAAAAGGGCCTGTGAACTTCTGTTGCGTAATGAAAGGATGCAGTTTGGCCTGTTGTGGCGACCAACGCTCGAGGGGATTGATGGCCAATAGGCCACGAACGAAGTCAATGAAGGCTACCCGGTTGTTCAATTCTAACAACAATAGTGAGCAAATGTATGTATGGCGGATCGGGTATTACCTACCTCGTTCAATCTCTGCTTGTTTCATATTCTTCCTCGGCATCGGGTAGCTGCGGATGATTTCTTCCAGGGTCGACGCTTGGAAGTACTTCTTGCTCGGCTGCTCTTTCGTGTTGTGCTCTCGAGAATATTGCTCTAGACTTTTAAGGCGATATGTCTTGCGACCGAACTCGTCCTGGGTCTTCTCAAAGAATTCGCCAGACTGCTTGCCCATCTCCAGCATCCATGTTGGCGGCAGGCCGAGCATTTCCACAATGCGGCAGACTTGGTTGTATTCCGAAGATCCAGGGAAAAGCGGCAACCCTAGGAATAACTCAACGACGATGCAACCAAGAGACCACATGTCTATCGCGGATGAGTAGCTAGAAGTGTGTTAGTTTAGCCGTGCGTATACAGGGAAGGACAAGGCGAGGTGCGCGTACGGTAAGCCAAGAAGAACCTCTGGTGAGCGGTAAAACCTAGATTGAATATAGGTATAGACTGTCTGTCGCTCGTCACAGGCTGAACCAAAGTCAATGACTTTGATAATGGGGCTCTCCAGACTGCGATGGAGCTAAGTTAGCATAGTGCATTCGAAGGAGGTTGGAGAGATTGCTAACTTTTTTAGTAGAATATTCTCCGGCTTCAGATCGCAGTGAATCAAGTGCGCCTTGTTCAAAAGGCTCAATGCATTCAGAAGTTGCTGAGCAAATACGCGTACTAATGTCGTACTTAAGCCCCGGAACTGATTCTGCTTGATCAGTTCGTAGAGATTGACACTCAACAATTCAAACACCAAGCACAAATGCTGTCGGTGAATGAAAGTATCTTTCAAGCGGAGTAAGTGGTGGTCGTCATTCTTGTCGTATCTGCTGTTGAGCTGCGACAGTTGTGAGCAACGGAGCAACAACTTCGACCCGCTGAGATATAAACACTTACCAAATCCAAAACCGACACCTCCATCATGCTTTGGTTGAAATATGCAGTCTTGTTCTTGATGACCTTGACAGCTACAACCTCCCCAGTTTTCAGGTTTTGACACTTGACAACTTGACCGAAGGTTCCTTGACCCAGCACATCAAGAATGAGATAACGGTTCCTAGACGCGATTAGCTTAGGTCCTCGGGGAACTTCGGTCGAACACGCTTTAGGGTTAGACGTACTTGTGGCCCGCTTCCTCACTGCCCAAGATGTCATTGACATAGAGAATGTAGTCACTATCCTCGTTATCGTAACCATCGTTCTTCACGCCTTTACTAGGCTTGGTAAGAACACGCCTCGGGTTCCGGGACGATTCGTAGTTGAAGCCCGGGTTGCATATTCGATAAGTGGCGGGGAGATGTGTTGTCAACGCTTGCAGAGGCTGTACACATGTTAACGAATGGCTATTCCAGAGCCTTTGATTTCCTGTGTACTTACGCTGATGAAACCACCATCAGGGTTGGCGCGTCTGTAAGGTGGCTGCGCATTCATGCGTGGTTGAAGTTCCTGGATGGACTTGATCTTCTGGAACTTCGGAACAGGGCCCCGGCCTGGCTGCTGGCTCCCACCGGATATAGACGCAGAGCGCGGTGACCTTCCATCTTGTGCAAATGCGGCGTTGAGCTGTGAGCCCGCCGAGGGCGGATAGTACTGATCGGGGCTCATGTCGGTAGGCTGAAGCGGGGGAAGTCTAGGGGGGCGTGACGCAGCTGTGAGGAGATATGTTAGCTGCCATAGTATCCATAAAACCCAAAGATCTCAAAGGCGTTGATACTCACAGGGTGGGGATTGGAACGCCTGAGGAGGTGAGGCGTAGGTTGAACCTCTTGTCGGCGACCGTCGTGGTTGATTCGGCCCGGGCGGGAAAGCATACGAGTTATGCGATTTCCCAGGACTCGCATTGAACGACATGGAAGGAGACAAAACATTCATAGGGGAGTACCTGCGAGCAGCTGACGACTCTTCGCTTGGGAAATATTGGGATGACGGTCGGCTATGATGGCTCGGTCTTGTCGAGTACTTGGCCCGGTTGTACGGATCCGCATCTTCCATCGTGGTGTCCGCATCGGTGACATAATCCCGACTACGTGGCGTCGCAGCGGGAGACGAAGCCATAGAGACGGTTCTGGAATTTGCACCGATGGATGGTGGTTTGGCGGTGGTGCCAGGAGACTGGAAGGGTTCGTAGGTGTAGCCCACCGGCGGCTGCGAGTGCTGTGGCTGGGCGCCGTATTTTGAGGCTAGCTGTTGTGGATTAGACGTCAACCCGTTGTTGAACTGCGCGGGATGCCCCATTAAGGGATCCTGGTATGCCTGCCACTGGGAATCCATGCTTCCTCCCGTATAGCGGCGTCTCGTGAAGGTCAAGTGGGAGATCAGATCCGATCGGACATATGATGATCATTTATCACTGTCGACAGCGCACATGCACCACGATCGGGGGTTAGATAGTAGCAGCGGGGACGGCAGACGCACGTAGCGCAATCAGGCGGAGTTGACGCGGGACACCGGGGAGTGGTGGTGCAATTCGAAAATCGGAGGAGAGACGAGACGGAGGAATTGATGCTAGATTCGGATTGCGTCGAACCTCATTATTCGGAACAGCAGACTGTTCTGGTGATGAGGGCTCAGAAGGGGCGAGAGGGGAGGCGGCCAGTGGATGGACGGAGTGGGCGGTCGCAATCCACAATGACGGGTGCGACGCAGCAGCCAATATCGATGCGGCAGCTGACACGCGAAGGGGGTTTAGTCGGTTAAGATGGGGAAAGGAAGGCGACTGAACCAACTGTTGGAACCCCCAAGGGAAGGATGGGAATCCAGACAGCAAGTTATACAGTCGAGGAGCAGAGATGGGTAAGGGGGGGGG